ATTTTTGTGAGGTTGAGATTTTACCTCTTAATGAGTCCTTATGCTATTAAGACGCATTTTTTGGACTCACCTATGTGGTTGTGAAGATTAGCTATCTTCTATGAAAACTTTGGTAGGCTTTCTAGAGCCTTCACTAGACCTAAGGTGATGTACTTGGCTATAAAAAGTACATCTTTTCGCAGCGATCATGTAAAGTATGGAGCTATGTGTGTGTTGTGGAAGTCTTGATTTAAATCTTAGAGTTTCAAGGTTAGTCCACTCTTTGATCAAGGGTGTAAGGATTTCAAGGTTTGTCCACCCTTATGCTTGTAGCTCATTGCCTCATTTCACAAAGCTACTACTGTAATATCTAAGTGTTACGTATTACATCTCCTCTTATGCCCATATGTTGTTTCTTAATTCTTTTGTTGGATTTTCATTTCTTCCTTTAGTGGGGATTGTTAGAATAAAGGTAGAAAAATGTTGACCTTGATGCATCTGCCTAGTTGGGCGCTCGACAGGGTGAGGTCCGCCCGACAAGACGCGAGAGCACGCAAATTTTGAGGTTGAAGTTCACCCGGTCAGGCGAGGTCCGCTTGACCGAGCGCAAGAGTGATCGTTTCTAACGTTGATCCATCACCTGTTAAGGTGAGCTCCGCCCAGTCGGGTGCGTGAACGTGCCAGGTGACCGTTAGAAGCTCCAATCTTTTTCCTTCCTAATCTCCTTTGTAACTTCCTCTTAACTCCCAATTACTGGGATGTTTAAGGGATTGTTAAACACCTTAATCTCTGATTAAGGCTTGTCTTTTTGGCTTTATCAACTCTTGATTTACCCATACACATTATATATTGTTGCAAAAATCGGAAAAGGGCGAAAAAAAAAAAACACTAAACTAAACATAATTCTCTCTTTGGGCATAAGTTTACTAGTCTCCAACCTCCCATTCAAAAGTGCCTTTGTGTGAGAGTGGTGCGTGTCACCTTAGGTGTAGGGAATTTTTCATCTCGCCCTACTGTGGGTCATGTTTTTAGGCATGCCGGCGCTCCAAGGAAAAGAATCTAGAGAAAAAGAGTCACCAACAAGTTTTAGGAACTTGTAAACCGTTCAAGATTGTAACGGTTACACCCCATTCACAATCACCGAGATTGCTAACTTCATAGTGGTCCGGAACCATGACTGGATGTTCGGGGATGATGGTACAAATTTGACCGAAGAGAAGCCAAACCCGCCCTAAAATAGGCCTCTACTTGATTCTTATTGATATTCATGTGCGCTTTTCGATCAACATACATACATCAAAATAATCCTAAACCTGTTTAATCAATGTTGGTCGATTATTAATGCACAAATCAAATCTAATATTGGTGATCACTTGAATTAAAATCATTTTAAACCTAAATCCAATTATTAATTATCTTATTAGGTGTGATTTCAAGTACAAATTCTCTTTAAACCTGCAAAAAGGGGTGTGATCAAGCAATAACAATAAATCATCGATAATCAAGCAACATATGATTAACATAACAATCATCATCATAAAAATATCGCTAGTAGTAAAATCCTAGGCATGATACTAAACGGATTAATAACAAATCCTAGCATGTCACTAATAACAAAATCAACACATTATCCTAAACATGATGCTAGAAATCAAAATCAACATGTTATCCTAAACATGATTTATATTCAAAATCAAAAGAATGATTAATTACTTACTTTGAAGCCTCGGCCTTCTTGCTATAAAATTAATACACACGTTAGTAAACTTCAAGAAAGAGAAATCAATAAAGTAAATAATAAACTAAATTAATTAGGAATAGAAATATATATTTGGGACCAAACCCTCAAAGCTATCAACTTTTCACATCGAGGTCAAAGGCAACGTCGAGTATGGTTTAGAGTATTTGAATCACGCAAAGGAGGTATGGTGAATGATTTGGATGAATCAAATATGTGTTTAGGCTTAGGCTAAGAACATGGATGTTTGATGATGGTTGTTGATAAAGATTCTTGATGGTTGTTAATGATGATTCTAGCTGATTTGAAAATGGGAAAAACGACCTCCATTTATAGGAAAAAGGAGAGTTGAAACGATCAGAAAAAAAAAATCAGAATTTGGACTGAAATAAAACTGCTTTTGACGCGACGCGACAAGATTGTCGCGCCACGTTGGACATTGTCGTGCTGTGTCGCAGTGCGATGGTCCTGATCGCACGATGGTTCGTAAGATAATCTAATTTTGTACGGAGTTGATTTCTGATGGGTTTTCTATGCAAAATATATCTGAATGTATTTGAATTCAAATAGAACAAGGATTATCAAAAAGAGAAGTTTTATTCGATTTCAAACTCTTTGGTCTTTAAAAGATAAATTAGAACCTTCTAGAAATTTCTAAAAGAATCCTAATTGATTTAGGATTAGGAGTATGATCAAATAGGGCCTAAATAAAATATTTGGACTCCATATAATCATTGGGTTGTACTAATGATGGACCTAGGCTCGGTTTAGTATTTTGGCCATAACTTATTTGATTTAAGTCGGATTTGGACTTATAATATATCATTGGAAAGCTTTTTTCAACCACATCCAACTAAACAATAATTGGACTAGTAACATGGACCAAAATAATCAGGTTTGGATAATTTTTATATTTTGGGCGCGAAATGAATGATTTAGGGTTTAAGGACACAAAATGAACGATTTGAATTAAAACATTTTAGGTAGGGTTGGAAATATGGTCAAGGCTTAAGGAAACTTTGCGATACTGTTCAACTCTTTACCGAACTCGTCAATCAAAACGTGAAAGATACTCATCACTGAGTTTGGTTTTTGGGAAGACACAATTAGGTGTCTACATTAGAGAATGTACCGGCGAATACACTTGTGCACTTTAGTTGCGCTGGATTTCGTTTTCATGTTAGTGATTATTATCATGTTGCACCAAAATTCTTTTGAGTTTTATTTCTCTTCTCTTGTTCATTTTTCCGTTGACTATATGTTCTAGACACCATTATATTACAACATGTTCATCTTTGCATCCACGTTGTACCTACAGGATTATGTGGAACATTCTTGGTGGTGTTTAGAGTTGAGGGCAATCATTCACTGCCAATATATGTATAAACTATTTTGCTAGGATTTTCATATTAATTTACTTTGAATTTAAATTAATCTCTATTAATAAACTTAATTAAATTTTCATATTATTTACCAGATTAGCTGCATATGCCACATAAGATTTCTAGTTAATTATATTTGTATCTATTTTGCATCCCACTGGTTAGGTAATAGCTTATTATTTAAACTAAACTCGGCTATTAATTATTTGTTACTTTTAATTAAAATAATTAATTAAATTATAAGATTTTGTAAGATTTTACTTGCCTTTTTTTGCTTTAAACAACTACATCTATGATATTTTTTTAAAAAAAACCACATCTATAATATAATAACTATATAATCATAGAATAAGTATTGCCAACAACATAAATATACCGAAATTGCATTTGATTAAATTCAACGTATATAATACAGCCTTAAATAAACCCTCGCAAACAACTTTTTAAACTTCGGCTTCTAAATTAACCAAATTGAACCATTAATAATTAAATCATATTGACTAAACTTTCGGCCTCTACATGTACCACAACACCACAAGTAAATATCGACAATACAATCCCAACAAATACTATTAACATAGTATCGCTCGCAACGTGAGCGCGCGATAGGATAACTAGTTTATTAAGAAAATTTTAAAATAAAGTTGATATTATGAAACTAAAATACGTATAAAAACGAATTTAATATGGCACGTTATAATTTAAATTGTCTTATATCTAAACTACAAAATATAGTCAATATTGTTATTGGTATGTATTTGACTAAATGAATAACAGATAGAAAAATAAAAATGATTAGATAGAGTACTTATGAATAATTAGAATAGTAGTGATTTAAAGAATTTGTTGACAAAAATGAAATGAAAAGTGTTGCACGTAACGAAAACTTATTTAAGGAAATACTTCGACAATCCATTAAGCCACCATGGTCAACAATGCATTAGTTATGAATTTATGATGTGGAGGTGACACCCAGTACTGTACTAGCCATATATTTTAGAAGTTATCACTTTAAAATATAGCAACAACTAAGGTCTTAAACTCCTAATACACAAATTCAAGTGTGTTGGAAATCGGGTAAACTCTGCTTTACTATCGGATATGTTTGAATAGAAAACAAATACGAGTATGAGATGATCCATTTGTCACCTCTACTAATTAATTTATCAATTAAGGGCGTGTTCGGCAAAATATAGCTATGAAGGTAGCTGTTAGCTGTGAAGGAAACTGTTAGCTGTCAACAAGCTGTTAGCTGCGAAAATAGATAATTTAGGTATGAGTGTTTGGTAAAATAGCGGTTGAGTAGCTATTACATGTAAAAATCAATATATATTTTTTTAAAAAAATTATAGATTAAATTTTCAACAGCTATCTCTAACTTCAAAAGCTAATATTTAACTTTTGAAAAAAGCCACCTCCACCACTAAAAACTACTCCAACCACTACATTGTCAAAAACACTCTTTTTTTTTTTGTTAAGTAGTGGTCAAACCACTAAAAGCTACTTAAAAGCTACTCTAAAGTTAACGCCAAACACGCCCTAAATTAAATTTTTTTAATATGAGGATTACAACATATAAGTCTACTAATACACATCTTGAACTAAATCAAATACTCGAGTCTAAGTAATATAGAGTAAAAAAATTTCACTTACAAAGTCACAAGTCACACCTAGGCTAACTGCATTTTGCAAAGAATTCACATTCAAGATAGCGGTCTTGCTATCTGGAGTATAGAAAAGGGTAAGATATTAAGATGATAGATTTATCTATTTTCTTACCTATATGGAAATATATCTATCCAATTGACAACAATTTGCATTTCGTCAACCAATGACTGAGATCTAATCATTATATCTCCATTTATTGGTCTGACAAAATAACTAACAACAATGTAACCAATTTATAAATATTGGGTTGTTAAACACGGTACTCAAATTTCCGAGTAACACCCACAAAATAAAATTAAATTTACAAATTTACCCTTATGTATTAGCAAAATTGTTTTTAGTTGCTACCATCTCCAATCACTTTCACCAACACCAATTTCACTCCACTCCAAAAACTTTCACCAACACCACCACCACCACCTCCCTTTACTTACAAATCACCACCACCCACACTACGAAAACATCCCGATCTACCCATCACCACCATCAACCTTTGATAATAGTAGTTAAGACATTTAGTTATTGGTAATTTGGTAATAGGACAATCTATATGTATCAATTCTGCTTTTAATTTTGGCATTAGCTGATAATTTGGGGCACCGCCGCCACCACCACCACCATCATCCTTATCCTATTGTTCAGATCAATTCTAGGTCTGTCAATTCTCTCCAATATTCAACCATTTTTAATTTATGGAATCTTGAAGTTCTACGATTCCTCTTTTTAATTTTTTTCTTAAAATGAATTCTTTTTCTGGTTATTCGTTTGCTGGAATTTGTTACAAAATGATGAATTTTCTGGGTTTATTTAGTGGATTTTGGTAGGAACGCCCAATTTTTCTGAAATCTCTGGGTGGAAACGCCCAGAAACTTCGTATCTTTAATGGAGGTTCGTAATTTCTAGGCGTTTCATGTGGAATCGCCTAAAAACTTCGAACCACTGTCTAATTAATTTATAATTAGACATATCGAATTTTTTGGGTGTTTCCTACTCTAATGTGCGAAAATATGGAGTACTTGTTAATTAATTAGTTAATAAAATTAATTATTACAGTTGAATTAATTAGACACTGGTTCGAAGTTTTTAATTAATTATATGTGGAATCGCGTAAAAACTTCGAACCACTGTCTAATTAATTAGTACAGTTGAATTTAATTAATTAGTCTATAAAATATGGAGTACTTGTTACAAACTAGTAAGTACACCTTCGTTAATAATATTCACATAAATAATTCACTAATTCTTCCTCCAATCCATCTAACATAGACTAAGCAAAAGACGCTGTTGTTTAAGCACGTGCATAGTGTTGATAAGTAGCTGGCCATGGAAAGAGCTAGTTCGCTTCTACAAGCACCAACTTACGGTAACTTAATAACTATTCTTAGCATCGACGGAGGCGGAGTCCGAGGGCTGATTCCGGGAACCATTCTAGCCTTCTTAGAAGATGAGCTTCAGGTAAAGTTAGTTTGCAATACTACTATATATCGTACCAATTCTTACTTCAATTCAATCAAGCTAGGTTATTATTTTCTCTGACCAACTTAAAATTGAAATGATGCAGAAATTAGATGGAGAGGAAGCAAGACTAGCAGATTACTTCGACGCGATGGCAGGAACCAGCACAGGTGGTCTAGTGACAGCAATGCTTGCAGCACCAAATGAAAATAATCGCCCTTTGTTTGCTGCCAAAGATATCAACCAATTCTATTTAGACCATTGTCCCGGGATTTTCCCTCAAGAGAAGTATGCTTCTATTTATTTTTTTATTTTTTTATTTTTATTTTTTTAACATTGATTAAAATATTAATTTAAAATGTTGATAATATATATGGCTTCAATATAGGACCAATAAAAACTAAGGAGGTGTTTGGAGAAAACAGAATAAAAAGGAAACATAGAAATAAATCACTATAAATCACTTAAACCTAAGTCAATTTCTTTTTTGGTTGAGGGTAAGGATAACTGTTATTTTAGGTTTGATTACCCCTAGGTAATGGTAGGGTACTAGACTACTAGTGTTTGAGTTAGAAGATTTGGGTAGCTTTCTTCTAACAATCCCTTGGTAACGGTAATAATCTAATATATAGAGTGAAGAGGGGTTTGACTAACATTTTTGATTTATACATATAAGAAAAATATAGTTTTGTGGGTACTTGTTGCAATCATATTAATGAGTAGATTATTGTCTTACTTATTGATAACTAATTAAAGATATTATTGATCAAAGATTTGTATCGGAATATGTGCCCAAAAGAAATGGAGCAACCAATAAAATACGGAGGGTATACTGATCGCCGGATAATAGGTCGTGTCTACTATCTAGCTAAATCAAATCAACAATTTATAATCCTAATCTTACTCTATTAAGTTTACACTAGATAGTGGCAAGCTAGGGTCAAACCACAAGAACTAAGTGTATTAATTTGATCTAATTAAACTAGTAGGAAGGTTGTGAGATAGAGAGAGAAACAATATTAATAAAACACTACTTAAAGCAATTAACAAGATATTAGAGAAAGGGGAATCCAATTACATTAATGAATTCAATAACAAAATGCAATTAGATGATCATGATCTAATTTAGACACGATCAACACACTCAACTCACTCCTGCGCAATTAAGCATGTCAATTATCCTACTAAGCTAATTCACTCCCGTGCAACTAGCCTAGCATAGGCATGGAAGAATTTAGACTCTCAATCAACTCACTTCCGCACAACTGATTGAAAGCACAATTAAAAACCTAGAATCAATTAGCTAAAAAGATTCTAATCAATGTAAGCATCATCCATACACAATAATCAAGAATCAATCGCACACTAATAACAATCAATCACTCAATTCATCAACATAACCTTCATCCATTTCCCTATAACAAAAACTAAGCAAACATAATGAAGATAAACATGGAAAACAAGGTAAAACTAGAATCAAACAAGAATGTTTACTTATTGATAATTAGATATATTAATTGTTAGGCTTGTGCATTCATAGTAACAAATGGATATATAAAGCATCTGGAAAAAAAATCTACTCTAATCAATAAAGAATTAACCAAAAACAAGAATTAAACAAAGCAATAAAGATGACAGAAAGTTAGAAAAGCTCATTGAATAGATGAGAAGAGAAACCACAAAATTTCTTATTCAAGCTCTCAAATCTCCATTGAAATCCCAAGCTTTCTACCTCTAAACCTTCTCCTAAACTAGAGAGAGAAACTCCTAATCTAAGCCCAATCCTAATTAGAGGAGAGAGATAATGTAAAAACTTGCTTTTTTGAAATCTAAGAAATCGTTCTATTTATATTACAAGAAGTGAAAGATGGAAATCCAAAAAGTAAGATCGAAAAACACCCAGAAACCCGCACCCGTGGTGGCCGGAGTCGCGCCCGCGTCAGAAGAAGTCGCGCCCGCGGTGGCTGCAGTCGCGCCCGCGTCAGAAGAAGTCGCGCCCGCGGTGGCTGCAGCCGCGCCCGCGGTGACCTGGGCTGCCGAGCTGCTAGTTGTGCTGCTCTTTGCTGTTGCGATGCTGCTCGCTTCAGCTGCTTGAGGTGATGCTCGGTGTGCTCGGAGGGTTCTAGCCTTAAGTGCTATAATTGCTCAACTTCTTAGCTTCTTTCTTAGCTTCAAGATTCTTCTATTGAAATTTCTTGCCTTCTCTCGGATCATAAGCATCGAAGAAAGCACCAAGCACCTACACAAATAGACTAAGAGAAAAAAGAGTGAAAGAACACATAGGAAAACACGCAAATCAAGCTAGAAACCGAGCAAAAAGCATATTATTCACAACTAAGGCCCAAAACCATAAACTAAGACAAAGATAACTAAAACAAGACTAAACGTACTAGAAATAACAAAGAAACACCGAAATAAACCTAAAACTAAGGGAGAAAAACGCCCTAAAATGTGTCATGAATGACACTTATCAAGTACCATAAACATGCTTTTAATATTTGATGTCGTACCATCTAAGCTAGCTATTAACACTAACTTTTATATGTGGTTGGCCATACCGTGTGGCCAACCACCATGAGATACTGTCTAAAAATTTCATCATACACAATGTACACCCGTCAAAATACTAGGCTTGTAAAAAACACAAAAATAACATTATATATTAAGGAAAAGTACACGAGCGAGTAAAATAAGTTCAAAACGTTTCTTCCTTGATATATGATTGATATGTTATTTATATTCCTTAATTTAAGGAATTGATTTATTATTTACATTCCATATAAATAGAATATTGTTGGTTAACTTATTTCGATGTTCTTTATGCAGAGAGATAAATTGGTTTTATATAGAGAGAGAAACAATGGAAAAATTTAAATTTCGAAGTGATTCAATGTTATTATATACAAGTAGTTGTTTTGATGAATCCTTTTATAGAAATATGTAATTGACGAAGTTGTTGTTGAGTGAAAAAGTATTATTTAATTTTTTTTATCTCTTTTTTTTCCTTTTTTTATGTTATTTTATGAGGTTAAAGAAGATGTTCTTTAAATTATGACAAACGTCCTTTTACCATTTCTTTGTTCTATATTTATTTTTTTAACTGGAATAAAATATGTTCTTTGAGTCTGATCAATATGTTCTTTGAGTTTAAACTATATGCTCTTTACATTACAAATTATGTTCATTAAGGTATGTAGATTAAAAATGTTTTTTTTGAATTTAATAATAGAAATAGAAGTATGTTCTTTTTACTTATGTTATTCTATATATGTTCATTTGAAAACCTGAAATTTTGAAAGTAAAGTTTCAAATTTTTAAATTTGAACATAAAACCTTGAAGTATTTTTTGTAGAAAATAATTTTAGATAGAGAAATTCTAGAAAACTGAATATTTTTGAAATGATTTGACATTCTATACATGATAATAATCAATTAGTAATTATCTTTTACCTTTTTGGAAAATCTATAACTATAACTAAAATAAAAACCACTTACATCACCACGGTACACATGTCAATTTCTCATGAAAAAATTTCCCTCCAAAATTGCTTATGACATCATTTTTCCCACATATTTTTCCTTCCAAATTCAATATTGGGAAAATAATTCTTAATAAATAAATATAAATGAAAACATCAATTAACCAAAAACTTATTAGTGATATTTCTCTTTCTAAAAACCCTCCTTTTGTGAATAGATTAATTTATATTCTTTATTGAATTTTTTTTAATTCTAAATCGTGCATCGCATGAGTACTAATCTAGTTGTTACTAAAAAATTATGTTTATATTTAAAATTTGCGTTCTTTTATGAATTTGTGATGTTCTTTACAATTATAAGTTATGTTATTTCCACTTTGACCCGGGTGTACCATATACATGGTACACTCAGGTGTATAAACCATCAATTAGGTATTGTCAATGTTGTAGGGGGTTACTCTATTAGTGTTATAGGGGATTACTTTTTTTTTTTTACGAGCGGTCACATAGTGTGGCTAGCCGCACAAAAAATGCGTTAAACTATTTATTGTATGTATAAAGATGGAAAGATTGTATTGTATTTTATTGATTGATTACAAAGGATATACAATGGTATATGTAGAAATACAAGAGTATAAAAGATAATTAGAAAAGATAATAATTCCTATAATTAAATAACAAGATAATTACATTGACTAAGCTAGCACTAGATATAAGGAAGCTATTGAAGTTTGTTGAGCAATTGTAGCGGCAATGCATATCATTCTCTAACAATATGTTCTTCTTTCTTGAAAAAAACTACTTCCTCCGTTTCAATATTATAGCAATAATTGGACTTTTACACTATTCACCAGTCTTGTTTGGCTAAAAATGTAGTCATGTGAAATCTTGTTAGATTCGTCTCATAAAATACTTTCACAATATCAACTTTTTATAATTTTTACTCTTGTGTATTTATAGATATTTAACATATAAAATGTGCTTTAGGATGCGTAATTTCATCCTTGTTGCAATATTAAAAGAACGGAGGAAGTATTAATTATGTTTTATTTCCACAAGAACGTATATAATTTTGGTGATGCAAGTACTTATTTTAAAAAACTATTAATTATGTTTTAATTCCACAAATTTGTAATACTCTTATCTAATTATTATTTTTACTATGGCAGTTAACGCACACGATGCGCGCGCCATAATTAGCCATATCCGGGGAGCTCTTTCGTTTTAGCCTTAAATCACAAATTTGGTCGTTAGCAACATTAATGAAAGAAAATATGTAAACAAATATTTTAGTGGTATAAATGTCCACACATTACTTTTAAGAGTTTTTTTAACAACAACAACAACAACAACAACAACAACAACAACAACAACAACAAAAAAGCAACTAACATTAAAAAAAGGAAAATAAGTAAATCAACATTTTTAGAGGGTATAAATGTCCAAACATTATATTATTCATAAAAAATTTAAATAAAAACTTGTGCATATTAATAAGGGTAAATATGTCTAAATACACATTTTGATAGGTATAATTGACAACACACTATTCATAAGAGTAATCTTGTACTTTTTATAAGCTAGTGATTTGTAATACTCTTTCTAATTTTATTTTATTTTTTACTAGCTAGGGCAGCTAATTAAGCACGCACCATAACTAGCTATATCCGGGGAGCTCTTTTGGTTTCGCTTTAAATCACAAATTTGGTCGTTAGCAACATTGATGAGAGAAAATATGTAAACAAATATTTTTAGTGGTATAAATGTCCACGCATTATTTTCAAGTGTTTTTTTTTTTTTTAAAAAAAAAAGGCAACTAACATTAATAAAGGCAAATAAGTAAATTAACATTTTAGAGGGTATAATTGTCCAAACATTATTCATAAAAAAAAAAAAAAAGCAAAAACTTGTGTATTTTAATAAAAGTATATATGTAATTACATATTTTGATAGGTATAACTAGTTTAAGTCCCGTGCAACGCACGATTTTTACTAAACCTAATTATGAATTACAATGTCAATTTAAAAATAATTAAGCAAAACTAAACCTAATTATTAATTACAATGTCAATTTAAAAATAATTAAGCAAATACTTGAATTTCTTTTCAAAATAACTTGAATTTTATATTATATTGATCGATATCAAAAGCTGTTGATCATTAAAAATAAAATAAATAAATAAATAAATAAATAAAAACTCAAATTTAATGATTATGTGGTTTTATATAAGAATAAAATTTTATGTTAATTATAACCCTTGCAATGTACTTTTATACCCCATATATCCCTATTTTGTTGGTATATTTTGACCGACACAATATTTTATAGCGTACTTAATTTGACTGGAAAAATATTTTATACAAATTTAATTGACTTATTTTTTGTGACAATTAGTAATCAAGGTTTTTTATTTTTATTTTATATTTATAGTTATTGAATTGTAGTGTTATTATTATAAATAAATCAACAAATATATAATAAAAGCTAAAGTGTCAATCTGGATGGAGGTAAGAAACTTTCAAAGAAAAAAAATATGATGTAGAGTGATACAATTTTATATTAGTCAAGTAGAATAATGTTATTATATCTTAAGATAAGAATATATGAAGATCCTTTATATATAATATATAATAGTAGATAATGGACAAAATTTTGGTATAATATATATTCCATGCATAACTACCTAATATATTCCATGCACAAATTCCATTACACTTAAAAGTAAGCAACGCATTAAACATTAACCAAAAATATGTGTTAATCCTTTGTCCAAAAAAAACAAAGAACAAAAAAAAAATCATCAATTTTAGGATTTAATTATTTATATCCATAGTTAACATAATATGTAATAGAATCTTATAGTTGATAATATTGTTCAATAGAATCAATTACACTTAGAAATAAGCAACACATTAGACACTAATCAAAATATCGCGTCAATCCCTTCAAAAAAGAAAAAAAATTACGTGCATCATAAGATTTATATCCATAGTTAATCACACATATTATGTAATAGAATCTTATAATTGATAATATTATGTAATAGAATCACACATATATAATATAATATAATATAAGAATGTACTAAAAATAAGTAAAATAACTACTTATTTTTTTATTTTTATACTTATATTTATATATATTTTTTAGATAATAAAGAAATAATAATTAAATAAGAAAATAATGAAAGTGGCGGAAAAATTGTTAATGACATTGTGACAAGTGTCATTTAAGGTTTGCTTTTAGTATAAGTTAATTGATTGATTGGCAACACTTTTTAAGAGTAATCTTGTATTTTTTATAAGGTAGTGATGTTACTTTCTCACTTTATAATTTAAACTATTATAGTTAAAAACATACTACTTAATATATAACTTAAAAATTAACTAGACTTATTAAATTAGGTTGCACTAAAACAGGCAAAAACATGCATCTTTTCTTTTGATAATAGCTTTTTTCGCTCAAAATTAGCAAAAACTATTTATAATAGGTAAGTAGTGTGTGGTCCGGACGTTGCACCAGGTTGCTACTTTAATCAAATCCTTTTTTTTTCTTTTTTTGATTAACCCTTGTGATTTGTAATTATATACATTTATTTTCATATTTATAATATGGTTGTTAATTGGTTTAGCCTTTAGATGGTTAAATAACCATCTTTCTTATAATAGGTTGGGTGTTTGAATCTCCTTAGGTGACAGGGCATAAGTGAAAGGATTTACATGGCACATAAACTTTCTTATAAACGGCTTTTAATAGATTAGTATAGATCGATAAAGATGTTCTCTACTCTTATTTTCATGACTTTAAATAAAATAGGGGAACTAAAAAGCAGATAAACAATATCATATGCTTTGTAGGTCTATTTTTGGTCATGCAAAGGATATAATGAGATCGTTAAAAGGACCCAAATATGATGGAAAGTATCTACATGAAATTGCAAAGGAAAAGTTGGGAAATACAAGGCTACATCAGACACTGACTAACATTGTTGTGCCAACTTTTGACATTAAGCATATGCAGCCAATTGTCTTCTCCAGCTATGAGGTAATAAACTCTTAGGTAAATCATTTCAACTAATCTCTACTAATTTAAATTACTATGAGGGGTTGTTTGGTTCATCTAAAGAAAAACAAATGATTTAAACAAATTGAAAAAAGAAGAATAGAATGTAATTTCCTTTAATTTACAATGTTGTTTTGTTTTAAATAAGAAAAGGAATCACAACCACCATACAACCACCCATTCACTTCTCTTTCCTTCTTTCTCCGGCCACCTTGAAAATCGAACCACCGAGCGACCACCACCGCATCACCCCGCCGCACTCTCCCCTCACCATTGTCATTTGATGAATACCCCCAACCAAATGATCCTTGAGTATTATTGATTGAATTTAATTTGATTGAATTGTCGCAAACTCGCAATTGATTGATTGATGTTTTTGTAGTGATCGTTTCAAAAATGACGATCATAGTATTTTAATAATAAAAACAATATGATTGGTTCAGTTTTTTCACATTATAATATAAATAGAATTAGTCTTTTAATATCTAAAATACAAATATAATTTTTGAAAAATTTAATCCAACATAAAAAAAAAAAAAAAAAAAACATATTCAAGAAATTATAAAATAAAAATAAGAATTACATAAATGAACTAAAACTTGCATAAATAATAAAAATATTGATGATACTATTTTATACCAAAAATAAAGAAACACTTTATTTCTTGAAAAAAAAAAAGTCAATCATGAACTGCATTAACATTAAAACAGTATAATAGTCATTTTCAATCAACCATTATAAAATTTTCTTTGATTTTTACATATTAATTTGGTTTGTGATTAGCTAATTATTTGCTCAATCAATAATGACTAATGAGGATTTTGAATGACACATACCTTGTTGAGTCTAAATGAGTGGCTAGCTAGGCACGATACACCTATATGAATATATGATACACATGGTGCGCATGCATGTAACATTATTAACTATTTACTACCTCCATTACTTTTTAGATATGACAAAGGGGTATTTTTGTAAGATATAAAAAATTTTTTTATTGCAACTTAACAAAGGCAGGTTTTTTTTTTTTTTTTTTTTTTTTTAATTCAAATGAGGAAAAGAGCTTCGAAAACGTGTAACATTATTATTCGTATGCACATATAAATTGTGTGAAAACTAACTAATACATTACGAATAATGATCAGGTAAAAAGAACACCAAGTTTAGATGCCTTACTCTCAGATATATGCATAGGAACTTCAGCTGCACCAACTTACCTCCCACCCCATCACTTCAACACCCAAGGACCGAATGGAGAAGTCCGAGAATTCAACCTTATCGATGGTGGTGTAGCTGCCAACAATCCGGTAATGTATCGTATAATTTCTATATGCATTATGCCATTATTACATCGTTAGGGCTACATTTATCATTTTCCAATGGAACTGCGCTTAATTTATATTATAGGCATTGGCCGCGATAAATGAAGTATCAAATGAGATATATAGCGGAAGCCCGGATTTCTTTCCTGTAAAACCATCAGATTATCATAGATATTTAGTACTGTCCTTAGGTACAGGAACAACAAAGTGCGAAGAGAAGTATGATGCAGAAACCGTAGCAAAATGGGGTGTTTTAGGGTGGCTTACTTGTGGTGGATCCACTCCTTTGATCGATGTGTTCATGCAAGCTAGTGCTGATATGGTGGATTTTCATCTTTCCACTGTTTTTAAGGCCCTTCATAGTGATAAAAATTACATTAGAATCCAGGTATTATATACTATATACTCTCTACATTTTCCTAAGTTCTTCTCATTTACTGTAGCAAAGCATACGAGCATCAAAGAAAAGTATAAATGGGGACATAATGCATGTGGTTACTTTTGCTTTAATGAAAGAGAGATAGAAAGTAAATGATTTATTATGCAAAATTTGTCTCACAAAGTGGGGTTGTAGGTAATAGAAAATAAATAAAAGATTGACACAAAAGCAATATAATATAATTCTAGGTATTTATTATGTTCGATTTTGTTCTATTCATCTCAATTTATACTTTTATATTTTAGAAATACTTGTAAATATAATAAAAGTAACTAGTTTAAGCTAAGTCTTGTATAACGCACGGTTTTTACTTAACCTAATTATGAATTACTACCTCCGTTTCAAGTTAGTTGCAACTTTCACCTTGACACGGATCTTAAGACAAAATTTCATAATAGCTGATTAATGAATTAAAGGATAGATAATTAAGGGTAGGAGAGAGAAAGTGAAGATAATTAATAAATTGAATACCACCACGTCGGCACCACCAACAACAGCCACCCCGCAACTGTTGCCAACAGCAGCCACCCAAAATTGAATACCACCACGTCGGCACCACCAACAGCAGCCACCCTGCAACCGTCGCCCAACAGCAGCCTAAAACCACCCTCTCTCTCAGCCCGAACCACCCTCTCTCAGCCGAACCACCCCCTCTCAACCCGAACCACCTAAAAATCACCCACACGCACCTCGAACAACCCTAAAACCACCCCCTCTTAGCCAGAACAACCCCGAAATCTCGAACCACACCGAAACCACCTCCCCTCAACTCGAACCACATCAAAACCGAACCCCTCTCAGCCGAACCACCCCAAAACCACCAACACTCCCCATAAACCATCCCAAAACAACCACCATCACTCAGCCCCAAAGCCACTCACACTCACCCTAAACCAACCCAAAACTACCCTTACTCACCTTAAACCACACCGAAACCACCCCAAACTAGCCCATTCACCCATCAAACCATCAAATCTAAACAATTAAAAAAAAAGAAAAAAAAAAGATAGAGAGAAAGGAACACTGAAGCAACGACTTTGAATATGGTGATGAGCAGGGAAGACGTTGACGGTGGTGGTAGATGCAGTGACGACGTTGACGGTGGTGGTTAGATACAGCGGCGACGGCGACGTTAAGAAAGGGGTGTTGGGTGTTCTGACAATTTCGTGGGATTGAATGAATCTTTGAATTGAATTGTTTTAATTAGATATGAGTTAAATTAGGTCATATAAGTTAGATTAGGAGTTTAATGAAATCTGATTTAGGTAGTTAATAGTGTTTATGAGTTTTTTAGTAAGAGTATTTTTGTACATTTATTTTAAAAAACTTACTAAAATAAGAAAAAAATGGAAAGTTGCAACTAATTGTAGCACCTCGTTTTGGCAAAAGTTGCAATTAATATGTAACGGAGGTAGTATTATGTTAATTTAACAATAATTTTTTTAAAAAAAAATCAATATTTTTAATTGAAACAAATACTTGAATGTCGTTTCAAAAACAACTAACTTGAATTTTATGTTATATTGATATCAAAAGTTACTCGTATTATTGATCATTAAACATTTTTAAAAAACACAAATTTCATGATTATAGGATTTATATAAGAATAAAATTTTATGTTATCTATAACACGTGCATGTACTTATATACTCAATATGTCCCTATTTTGTTGGCATGTTTAGACCAGCACAATATTTTATAACATACTTTGACCTACACAAGTGTTGTATACAAATTTAGTATGTGAGTAGTACATTATTCTAATAATATTACCTTATATATGTAGTATATGTTGTTTATTATAGAAAATACCTATTATAAAATATATGAAAGATATATTAAAATATTTTCATTGAATGTATATAGAATATACTTAGAATATAGTTGCCAAATTGAAAGTTAGATTTTATAGGATATATCAATTAATATACATGAAGATTTGGAGAAAAAAAAAAAAAGTGGCAGGAAATTTTTTAATCAGACAAGTGTCATGTCAGATTCGCTTTTAGTATTATGTTATTGATTGGAATTAGGAAAATTTGGTTTTATTAATCCCAACTTTAGGCCATTTAATTTAATTAATCTCAACTATCGATTATTTTTTAATAATCCCAACTTTGGGGGTATTGACTTTTATCAAGCTTTACCGGTTACCAAACCTATAATAGCATGTCATTTGCCACATGTCAACACTATATTGGTTTTAAAAAAAGAAAAATTAAAAAAAAAGTAAAAAAAAAAACCAAAATAAACCACCACCACCCAACCTGGAAGCCTACAATGCCGGCGACACCCTCACCACCAGCGAACCCCTCCCCTTCCTCCACACCGAAACCCCTCCCCGCCCTTCCCCCACCCCAGAAGCTTCCTTCCCCGCCCCCAAAACCTTCCTCTCCCTTCCCCTGCCTGTAAAACACCTCCCCTGCTTTCCCCTTCTTCGATTTCCCCCTTCTTCGGTTTTCCCCGTCTTAGATTTGGTTGCAAGGGTGGGGGTTTTGAATGTGGCGATGGAAGCAGGGGCGATGGGGGTCGATTTTGGCGATGGAAGCAAGCAGCGTACTAGGGGTTCGGTGCAGTGGCGACAGAAATAGGGGTGGGAGGCTGGGGGTTTGCGGGCAAGGGTTTAAGGTGATGGGTGGGAGCTTAGCGTTCATGGGCAGAGCTTTGAGTTTGGTTGGGTTGTCGAGATAAGGTATAAAAAATTAAAAAAAAAAAAACACTTTACCTTTTCTTCAGGTTACCGGTCATTTGGACCTGATGAAAAAAATGTCCTCCAAAGATAGTTGGGATTAATGAAAATAAATGGCCTAAAGTTGAGATTAATAATACCAATTTTTCATTGAAATTATGCATTGATATACATGAAATGACGATGTTTTGCAACTAATAAAAAAACAGAGGGAGCATATGCCTCCAATTGTTGTTGGTCTAACGACCACTTGATACTTGTCATTTGCCAATGGTTTCGACTGCTTGGTACATTTGGTGTAAAATATACGGAGTAGAATGCCATCTTCATTTTTGAATTCATACATGTTAATGAAGCTAAGTCGTTTTCTAATGCAAAAGGAGACAGTGTATACAACTATCTTGGTTTTTTAAATACATGCAGTCCATGTTCATTATATATAAATGCATACAATAACTAAGTTATATCGATTTATGCATACGGAGGATTTGTTTTTCTCTGAATCTAATAAATTATTTTGAACTATTTATTCCAAAGATTTTTGATTTTAATGTATAAACCTCTCATAATTTAAATAAAATTGTGATTTATTGTGTTATTTGAAAAATTCAAGGGAAAAAAAAAAAGGAATTTGTGTTAAACATTATTGTATAAATTTATATACTATAAATTTACTTACATTATTGTAGGATGATACATTAACCGGAGATTTAGCATCTGTTGATATTTCAACAGAGGAAAACTTGGTTAATCTAGTAAGAATTGGTGAAGAATTGCTTAAAAAACCAATTTCAAAGTTGAATTTGGCCACTGGTGTATGTGAGCCAACCAGTCAACACACAAATGAAGAAATTCTCAAGAGGTCAGTAATTTACATCGTTTAACACATACTTTGCAAAATAAGAAATGTGCAAAGGATTAAGCTTATATGAGAAATACTTGACATGTGATCTATGTAACCAATGTAGGATAGCAGAGATACTTTCAAAGGAGAGGCGACTACGTTACATAAGATCACCTCAAGGGGAAGGACGCGTTCATTACAGGCGAACCCATACTGAACAAGCAGGAACTAATGAACCAGCTAGCTAGGGAATGTTATCAAAGATTGATCTGTTGGTGCAGTGACACCACTTGCCTGCCTCTTGTTTCTTCAATGTCGTATTAACACTCGGAAAAAGGAATATGAATGCTTATCACTTTTCTTATCCTGTGTTTAGTAGAAAGTTTAATTTATGGATGATAAAATACTATGTATTTATTTACTGTACCAATTGCAGATGATTGATTCTTCTTATCTTGATGATGGCTTTTTACCTGGTATTTTGACTAAAACTTACTATTATTACTTGATGTGTCGTACACTAATTTGGGTTGTGTTCTTCTATATGGGCATTTACAAGTGCATGTGTCTTGCTTCCAGCCTGCTGCTACAGCCGTCGTCCCAGCTCCGAACTCTTTAAAAGGCTATCTCGTGCATGTTACATATGTTATTTTATTGTTTCTATTTGGTTATATTCTCATCAGATATGTAATTGTAAAAACACTCATTATAGATACGGGGCTTCCAAATCCCTATGGAACCGAGCGCTTGACAGTCGCTATGGACACTATGGGGCCAAGGCCCACTACATGACGTTTATATCATCCATATGAAAATTCTAAGCCGGAACATACGAGGGGGGAAAAAGCCTGAAGCTTTAGCAGAACTTGTACACCTAAAGAATAAACACAAACCGGATATTATTTTCATACTAGAAACAATGACTAATGCTAAAAATAGTAAGAAAATTCTTAGATCCTTACATTTTGATCACAAAATGGTAATAGAACCTACTGGTCATTCAGGGGGCATTTGGGTGTGTTGGAATGATGAAAAAATTTCTATAAATCAGACTACCTTAACAGATAGATGTACACATTTAAATATCAATTTTAAGCCATTAAATCACAATTTCTTAGTTACGGGAATCTATGATCGGACCAGCTCAAGAAATTGATAAAAATAATTTTTGGGATTACCTTACCTCGTTTAGTTCTAATATAAGCATCCATGGTTAGTATTAGGAGATTTTAATGAGATGTTGTGTCCAGATCGAAGACAAGATTGGGGGGAGATCTTTTCTACCCCCACTAATTAAAACGACTACCAAAATTCTTATCTACTACTTCCTGCGTTTTTAAATACTTGTTCCATTTCTCCATGCGCGGAGTTTTAGGAGAAATTGGATAAAATAATAAAATATGGAGGTAGTGGGGTAGGTGGAAAAATAAAAAAGTATAAAAAGCAAAAGTAGTTGAGAAAATTGGAGGAGAGAGAATATGTAATTAGTAAAATATGATTTATGTTGGGTCCACTAGTTGAGAGATTGAATTAAATATTGTAAAAGATTTCCAAATAAGGAAATGGAACAAATATTTAAAATCGGTCGGAAATGAAAAGTGGAGCAAGTATTTAAAAACGGAGGGAGTACCTCTTCTATAAACATACCAAGCACCCAAAATTCTTTTTCTTGGAAACAATGCACTAATAATAGTGTAATATACGAAAGGTTAGATAGGGCACTATGTAACACCCCGACCCAAACAAATTAGGGAGGGGTCTATTGTCACGAAATACGCATCAAGGGCTAACAACTATCCTCACAGACCAACACAAGTCTTTCCGGCGCATTTTGTCTACATTCATGCGCACCCTAGGAGAACTTCCCAAGAGGTCACCCATCCCAAGACTACTCTCAGCCACAAGATGCACCTTTTTGGTATGAGTAGTATATTAAATCCTTTTAAAACAATCATGAGAGGTATCACATACACCCCCACTTGAGAACGACAACGCCCTCGTTGCGCCTGGACCCCTGAGGATCCCAGTATTACGTCTAATGGCAACTGGGTAGCCAAAGTGTTACATCCAGTCTGGATATGGCCATATGGCCCCAGAATTCTCCCCCGCTAGGCAACTGACATAGGATTAATTATCCACAATAGCACGCGGTCGCAGGGTTGCCCTGATACCATTTGTAACACCCTGACCACAAACAAATTAGGCAGGGGTCTATTGTCACAAAATGCGCATCAAGGGCCAACATCTGTCCTCACATACCAACACAAGTCCTTCTGGCGCATTTTGTCCTCACTCATGCGCACCTTGGGAAAACTTCTTTGGAGGTCACCTATCCCAAGACTACTCCCAGCCAAGCACACTTAACTATGGAGTATCTTAGCATATGAGGTCCCTACAAGGAAGATGCACCTTGTTGGTATGAGTAGTATATTAAATCCTTTTAAAGAAATCATGAGAGGTATTACACACTATGCAGCTATTCCTTCCTCCATCAATTTCCTAAAAGTCAAGTCCGCTTTGATACTTTCACAATTCGGACCATGCGTCGTTAATTTATGATTCTCATTACAACGACCAGTTAAGTCATCACCGTCTTTTTCGTTTCCAAAATCATTGGACACTAGAAAAGGAATCTCATGATATAGTTAAAAAGATTTGGCCTCATCCAATCCAAGGATCGAGGTTTTATTGAATCCAACAAAAGCTAGTTCGCATTAAACATGAACTAAAAATTTGGGCTCGAAAAAGATATGGAAATAATAATAACAAATTATTACTTAACACGGAAAAAATTACTAGCCTTGAGAATTCGCTGCGTGTCCAACCTTTTAATCCTATTCTAGCTAGCCACCTTAACCGAATGATTCATCGAAGAGAAAAACTTCTTTTATTTGGCTAACATTAATGAGGTAAGTTCTCGTAAAAATTAATTATCTCAAGGTGACAGAAACACTCATTTCTTTCACAAGAAGATGAGGAAAAAATAGCATCTACTTCATTTTACAGACTAAAGTCCCGGACTAATGACTGGATAGAGTCTCGAGACGAGGTTCATAAACTGCTAATCACTCATTTCAAGGTAGATTCATGTCCGAGGTTCCACACAATAGACATATCGACTACTCTTTCATTACTCCAATAACCTTAGAGGTGGATTGTGATAGCCTCTCAGCCCCTGTATTTAATGATGAAATCAAGACAGTTTTCTTGGATATGAATCCCACTAAAGCTCTTAGGTCAGATGGATTTAAGGCAAAGTTTTTTCAATCTTATTAGCCAGTAATTAAAAAGGACATTACCCTTGCCATCTAAAGTTTCTTCTCTCATGGTTGTTTACCACCGTCTCTAAACCATACCATCATTACCTTAATACCGAAAACGAAAATCCCTGAAATCTAAATCATTTTCGGCCTATTAATTTAATATAGTTTACAAGGCTATCTCGAAAATCATAGTTGCTCGTTTGTGTCCCATACTCCAAAGAACAATAAGCCCCCTGCAAAATGTTTTCACTCCTGATCGCTCTATTCATGACAATATCCTTATAGTTCGAGAATCATGAACACTTTCCATAAACCAAAAAATAAAATGGGTTGGTATGCTATGAAACTGGATATGGAAAAAGCGTATGACAGGATTGAATGGGACTTTCTATGGGAAGCCCTTTCAGCCTTTGGCTTTCCCTTCAAGTGGATTCACTGGATTCGAGAATGTGTGACCAAAGTTTCCTACTCACTTAAAATAAACGGTGAAACTACAAAATGGTTTTAGCCCACATTAAGACAAGGAGACCCCCTGTCTCCTTATCTTTTCACTTTATGCATGGAGGTTCTTATCAGGAAATTATCTCTAGAAAGCATGACTCCCAAATCCGGAATAGGCTTTAAGATTACACCTTGCTCTTTCAATATTCCTTGCCTTCTTTTTGCAGATGACAGTTTCGTCCTTCGTAAAGCAACATCATCTGCGTGTAATAAATTAAAATGACTTTTGTAGTATGTCGGGGCAGCTTGTTAATTTTCATAAGTCCTCAGTCATTTTTTCTCGACAAATTGACAATAGGCGACGTCCAGGCCTCGCAGCTCATTTTAACATGACGCCAAATTCATCGCTCGGAAGATACTTAGGAGTATTTTTTAGCTCTTATTACCCTTTAAAAAGAGATTTCAAAAAAGTTATTGATAATACGCAAAATAGAATACAACAATGGGAAGCAAGATACCTCTCTAAAGCAGGTCGCCACATGCTAATTCAAAGCAATTTGGAAGCGCTCCCTTCTTTCCTTTGCTCTTCATCCCTCCTTCCCACGGACGTTGCTAAGAACCTAGATTCCGTCCATAGAAATTTCTTTTGGAGACAACAAAAATAATAAAAACGGGAGTCCACTAATAGGTTGGAATGAAATATGTAGACCCAAAACTCTCAGGGATTTAGGATTAAGAGACAAACTTTGCCTCTATATAAAGTCTTCTTAGCCAAGCTAGGTTGGAAGATTCTCTCTGACCTTTCTAATTTGGGTCAAAATCATAAGATATAAGTATCTTCATAATTCTTCTATTTTCGAATACCACAATCAACCAAAAGATTCTCATATATGGAAATCAGTTCTGGCCCAACGGGAAATTTTGCGAAAAGGTATTCGGTTGAAAATTGGTAATGGTTCTGACATTTATTTTTGGATAGATAATTAGGCTACCAATAAAAGCCTACTAGAAACTCTCAACTTACAAGGACACCAATTGGATATTGATCTTAAAGTTGCAGACTTTATTTTGCCAAAAATCAGTGGGACAAACCTAAACTCACTTCCCTATTACCAAAACATATTGTAGAACTCGTCATGGGCATTCCTCTACCCAGTTCAAAAATGACAGGTATGCCAGTATGGGGGGCTTACCCCCTCTGGAAATTTGGCCACTTAGATAGCACACAATCTCGAACTTGACATGCCTAAATGGCCCTACCGTTGGATATGGAAGCTCGATATCCCTCCTAAGCTCCAAATCTTCTTATGGCAATTGATGCATGGTAGCCTTGGAGTTAGAGATATCCTTCACAAAAGAAAAATTATTCCTTTTAGCAACTGTAGCCTTTGTACTTTAAATTCAAAGACAATCAATCACCTCTTTCTCAGTTGCGAAAAAAGCAAAAGAAATTTGGCTTCATCCTTTAACCAAGAGTTGGCTGAGCAGTTCTCTTACATATGGGGACCTGCTATCTACCCTAAACAACCTCAAAAAGAACAACTCCATTCTTAAAAAGTTTATATTTTTATTATGGAGTATATGGAAATAGCTAAATTCTATAATTTTCCGAAATGAAACGTTAGATATCCCTCGTACTTTCCATAGAGCGTAATTTGCGTTCAATGAGTGGCAGTGTCGTACTCTCACATATACCTTTTTAAGTTTGGGATCACCTATGTAGAGATCCCAAACCCATACCCACCACCAACCCACCCATTCCATTCCGCGCCAAGTTGCGTGGGAAGGCCCCCCCCCCCTTTTAAACTCTTTCAAACTCAAATTCGATGGTTCACTCAAAAACAACTCAGCGGCATCAAGTGTCATCATCAGAGACATACAGTTCCCTTACAGCAGCTCGCACCTTTATCCTTGGCAATACCTCTATATTTGTTGCAGAAGCTACAACTCTCCAAAAAGGCATCCTTCTCGCACTTCAGCACGAGATTCAATAATTGGTCATCGAAGGAGATAATCTCCTAATAATCAATGCAATTAAAGGAGTTTGGTCTGTTCCGTGGCAAATCGATCACATCATCGCCGACATCCTCAATCTTCTACAAAGGTTTCAGCAATGGGAAAATAACCACGTTTACAGAGAGGTAAACACAACAGCAGACTGGATCGCGAATGTAGGTCATCTTATTAGTGATAACATGGACATTACTTTTTGTACATCCTCATCTTTGTACCTTATTATTTCCTCTAATGCATTAAGAATTACCATCGTGAGGAGGAGTTCCTAATGTTTTCCTTATTTTTCTTACCTTTAAAAAAAATATTGCAGATACGAAGTATAAAATAAATAAATAGATTTAATTGCATTATGATGATATAATTTAAAATTTTAATAATACCAATGACATAAGAGTTAACACATGACAATTTGTTCGGAATTTCTCAAAGAAGAGTTGGAATTTCTATTGGTGCAAGGGCAATGGAAATTCTACTCTCTCCGTGTTTTAATAAGTGTTACACTTTCTTTTTTTTTAACAAAATACTACATTTTAATATTATATCTCTCCTTTAATAGTCCTCACCCAACCGCACTACTATTTTTTTTATTATCTCTTTCCTCTCACATTCATTACTTTTCAATAAACTATTAACCACGCTATCTTTATTTTACAATCTTTTAATACTCCAGCTTCGTCACTTACCTCTTATTTTATTTAAAACAATTAAATTGCATAAAACTATATGTCGATCAAAGTATAACACTTATTAAAACATGGAAGGAGTATATAGTCATGATTTCATATAATAGCACGATACTTTATAGGAGTAATCAAAGGTAAAATAAGCATCCATATAGAGTTATAGCTAAACTAAAACTTCGTAAACAGTAGCAAAACGAATAGATGAGCATAAGTATGCATCACAAGATCTACATATCCATAATCCATATTCAATAAGAGACTGAGGAGGCCAACTGAGAGCTGACTATATAGATGATGAGATCCTAGAGATTTTCATACAACGCTGCATGCAGACACAGACTATTACTTCGTGCTCTCATTATATTCTGATTGCTCTCATAGTACGATTAGAGCTACTGAATTTTATTAGCTTGATATAAACAGACAAGTAAACATGTTACTAGCAAAAGCAAAGAATTTCAACAATTGTAGCATATGTAATTTGTAGTTCAGTAAACTCATAAAGTACTACTTGATAGGGAGTGCATAACAACAAAACTCTAAGACACCCAAGAGATTAAGTATGCAGCCAATAGTGTGACGATGTCAAACATCCAGGAACTTAAGGAGGCTGATGCAAATAAACAAGGATTAAAACTCAGATAATATCAACCACGAACGAAATCAAACTAGTCATTCCACACAAACATCATTCTGTTTTAGGATAAATGTTTACTGCCTGCGTATGTTTTCATGCAAAAAATAACTAAGTCGTAGCCCAAACTTCATACTACTAATATGAACAATCCAAAAATACTGTCTTTCGATTCAATTAAACATAAAACAAAATCTCACATAGTAAACCTAATTAAGGCCAAGACCTTAGAAGCCAAAACTGAAATATAGCCGCAGAAAAGAGAGTGAGTACTTCAACGAAGTCTTCTTGCTTCTCTCTCAGACTCGAGGAGGGTGAGAATGTCTCCCTCTCTGACGGGTCCCTTGACGTTCCTCATGATGAAACGGTTTTGGTCATCCAAGAACTTAACTCTGACCTGGGTCACCTGCCCCCTTGATCCTGTGCGGCCCATGCACTTCACAACAACAGCATGCTTAATCTGAGACTCCATTCTGCAAATGAAATGGTAATATCTATTAATAACTACTAGTCTTCTGTATTTATCAATAATTTTAATCTTCTGGCAAAACATAAACTTCTGTATTTATCACAATGGAAGTTTAAACTTCTGGCAAACTTCAAACAACAATTTTGATCTATCCCTCGCAGATACCAAACAACACATCATATATCTTAACCAAAAACAATGTCTTTGTTGCGGAATAACAAAACTGGTTCGTGGCAGAACGAATTGAAGAAATGAGACACCCATCAAGAACAAGTGATTAAAATTCCATGTAAACAACAGTCATTATGAGTCGAGGGTGCTAGACTCTATTCATTAAAATCGCCAAGTCATTATGAGTCGAGGGTGCTAGACTCTATTCACTAATCAGAATGTCAAAGCTTCTATATTAAAGCTATTATGCCCTTACGCCGCCACTAATGACGATAGCACATCTTTTTCAACAACATATACAGATTCAACTTTCTTAAACAGAATACAAAGCTAACCACATCCATTTAGTCGAATACGAATGATACTAACCAATATCATTGCATTCAAACAATTCAATCACTCTGCATTAATAATATACGCATCAAAAATTGAATATTCAAGAACATATGAGAATCAAAATCGAAAATCAATTTCTATATAATCAAAATTCAAGTTATAAAGACATATTAAGTTACAACATACTGATAACATACCGATTCATGAGAAATTCCCTAAAATTGGAAATCAGATCCTCAAAATTGAAATTATGTTTCTCTAAAATCAGATTTACTAACCATAAGTTCATTCTAATCTCAACAAAATAATTATGAACGGTAAACACAATAGTAACAAAAACAGAAATAATAAATCAAAAGATTTATCCTGATAAAATAAACAAACAGATAAAATCAACAGGTGAAGAATTCCAAAACCATGAAAACTACAACAAAAATCAAACAATTTAAACCAAAAATGTATAAAACATAGCATAATATTGATCATTACTCAAGAAAATCCGCAAATTAAGCGGAAAAAATTAATTAAATTTAAAAATAGAATATAGAATATTAGAAGATGATGAATTAGGATGAATTTTGCAGCAATTACCTGGTTTAGGAGAGAAAATTAGAGAGGAACTGGTGAGAGAAACGGCGCTTGAAGCAGGAGGGTATAAAGAAAAAGGGAGGGTTAGGGTTTAGGTGTTTATAGTACATAACATATTCATTGGGTCAGGGTCCCGGCCTGATTAAGAAAAGGGTCTGCCTGCCTATCCGGGTCAGAATATCGTCAATCAATCAATAACTATATACTAAAGGCGAAATTAAGGATGACAATTTTAAACGAATATTTGCAAACTTGATCCACCCAATATAGATAAATGGACAAAAATCCGCGTTGAATTGATGAAGGGCGGGTGACAAATCGGGTAGGATTCGGATGGAGCTTCGTTTCATCCATCACCCGATCCGTCATCCGTTTGTCACCCGATCCACCATCCACCCGAAGATATATATATATAAATTATTGTTATGTACTATATATATATATATATATATATATATATATATATATGCCCAAATTGAATCAGACAAATTAAATGATTTCACGAAATTCTAAGCGGGAATTCTCTCTCCTCTCTCTCCTTCGCCATTTTTTCTCTCCTTAATCACGCTCAAACAATTTTAAAAATCGCAAAACCGCTATTGATAACCGCTCAATTTCACTATTTAAGCACAATTTATCTTACATAATAAATGTTTCTTCAGTTTTGGATAAAAAAATTGAAGAAAATTGGTGAAATTTAGGTATACTTCGATCCTTCAAAGTTAATACAATTTTGTTCATTTTTGGAGCAATTTCCTTACTTATTTTTGTGTTTTTAGGTTAAAATTTGTTGAAATTGAAGTAGACGAATTCAATCGAAGTGTGTCGAAGTTGAAATTGCTAAATAATCAGTTTTTTTTTTGAATTTTTTGTATATTTTTTAAATTGGCAATAGAATTAGTTCAATCGAAGTTTTGTTGTTCTAATTTCGTTTGATTTAGTTTTGATTTGTACTTTTGATTTACTTCACTGAAATATATCATGTTTCAAAGTGATTTCTTACTTTCAAAATGATTTCGAAGTTCTAATTGGATGAATTTATTTTTAATTCGTTTTATTTACTTTAGATTTTTGTGTTTCAGTAAATTTATGGATGTATTTGTGTGTATGAGTGTGTTTGTGTAAATATTTGATCTACATGCAATTATAATTATGTATTTGTTTGTGTATTTAGCAGTTTCTTACTTTAGATTAGGTTAGAAATTTGATAGGAATACTGCTTAGGTATGTATTTGTATGCTTGAGTGTCTTTGTCTAAGCTTTTGATCTGCATGCAGTTATAATTATCTATTTGCTTGTGTACTTTGGTATAAATTTGGTGCAAAAAAATAAATTGGATCTGCATGTATTTCATAATGTTCTGTTTAAAGTAAATGTTTTAGTTTTGAAAGTAAATACATAATACTTTAAAGTTAATGAAATATTTATATAATAATTTGATATGACTAATTTTTCATATTGTTTTGAATTACAATCAGATTAAAATGAAGAAAACTACAAAGAAAACTGTTGCAACTGCAAAAAAAATCTCATGTAGCAGCTACAAAGAAGGCTCCTGCAGCAACTGCAAAGAAACCATATGTAGCAGCTACAAAGAAAGCTCCTGCAGCAACTCCAAAGAAAACTCATTTAGCAGCTACAAAGAAGGCTCATGCGGCAACTCCAAAGAAACCTCATGTTGCAGCTACAAACAATTCTCCAAAAAAACTTGTTGCAGGTATATTATATTGAATATTCAGTTCAAGTTTTTTTCTAAAATGTGTAAGGTAAATACAGTAAGTATAGTTGTGTAAGTATATATACATTGTTTTAGAATTAATCTAATTTTTTCACTTCAATAGTAAAAGGTGATAAGGATGAAAAGCTGTCAAAAAATCAAATATTGATAATGAGGAGGCTAAAGCAACTTGAACCTTTAAAAGGTTAAACAAAATTAATTACTGTCATATGTAATCAATTGTGTTAAAAGTAATTGATTTACTTTAACTGGTTTTTTGTTTACTTTAATTGCTTTCTTTTTAACTTTTAATTTAATTGTTTTACTTTTGAAAATGAATTACTGAATGTTGTGTATGGGTGTTTGTTCAACCTAAAAAAGGTTAACAAAATATAAATATTTAAATTTAGGGATATTAGCTATGATGATTTAGTTTTAGATTAATATTTGACATAATATGTCATGTTCTATGTTTGATTCTGTTATGTTTAATGTTTCGGGGTTTTCTGATGTCCTGCGGGAGAGTTACAATTCCGAGACTGGAACCGGACGCCTGTATCTGCAAAATAACGGAGACTCCTGGTGGTGGGAGCTCCGCCTCCAACGGTCAAGTTAGTACTTGATTAAGGAGTAATTAATGCGGAAATTAAAGTGATTGGGTCTCTCTAGGTGAGAGTGTTTAATGTAGGTAATCTGCTTTGTTAGCGAGATCAGCCGGTTATTACTGTGTGTAATTAATGTGTTTTTTCGTAATCCCCCTTAATGAGGATTAAGGGAGGTATTTATAACCTTGGGAAACGTGCCCATCCTAGGTTTAGGTTAACCTAGGGCTGATTGGTCTTCCCTCGGAAGTTGGGCCTGGGTGGCCGGTTTCTCCATTAGGCATGGAGTATGCCACATGTCATGACATAATAGGTCCAAGGTGGACGAATAAGCGCGTGCCACGTGGCAAGCCCTGACAGTTCCAACTGGGGGACACTTGGCAGGACCTGATTGGCCCACGTGGCGCATTCCGATTGGTGGGAGCAAAATCCCCTAATCATTTGCCCCTCACAGGTGGCACGTGACTGGTCACGTGTTACCTGTGACAGGTGTCGCACTGTAACAGGCGACGACCTTCTACAGGTGTCAGTCGGCGAAAGGCCGAGAGATTTTCCCGCCCAAATTTTGAATTCTAAAAGTGACCCTTCGCCTTCTCACTTCGCCTATATAAGGGAGGATTGTCTTGAGTCATTTTCACACTTGAGAACTTTGAGAGAGAACATTCGGACCCCTGAACTTGCTCTGACATTTTGGACCTTTTCTGCCTACCGCCTGTTCTGACAAGCCGACTGCACAGGATTTTCAGCACTTCATCAATCGTCACTCGTTCAGGTAACTGTCGGTTCTCTTACTCTTAATTTTCTTTTTATTTTTTGAAATGGCACCACGGAAGCACACGACACGACCTAGGTTAGTGATCAGCCGGTCACCGGGGACGGCTGAATCTAGGACTAGGAGTGCCGCCTGCCCTTTTCCGGACCCATCTTTGCCCTTTATACAAAGTCCGACTGTATCTGTGTCTATGCAGAGCAGGATGGCCAGAACGAAAAAGACTGCTAGGATCTCAAATTCAGACGGCTCCTCCCACAGGGTGCCGCTTAGTGAAACATCTGACCAGGCGCCAGATGTGGAAGTGAAACAAGGCGGCCTGAAAGCCGGCAATTCTGTGGGAGGAGTCATAGTGACCCCTTCCCATTTAACAGTTAACAATTCTGCTCCTTTTCAAAGAGAAGAGGCGGGCCCCTCCGGGAGAGGGGAGGAGTCGTCCTCTTCGGACTCGTCAGAGGACGATTCCGAGTCAAGCTCTTCTGGCCATGCTTCTTTGGACACAGAAGAGAAAAACAGCCGCCTGCAAGAGGCGAGACTTTCTCACGCAGTTGAGAAGGGGACAATTGGGCGGAGCCATCCGCCTCTTACCGAGAGCAAAATACCCCCTACTACTGCACGGTACCTCGGGGCCGGATCACAGCCATGCAAGAGAAAGTGGAGAGCTTTATTGCAAACCACACCACGGGCCCCGACTTTCTAGTGTTTGTGCCGGATCCAGAAGACACAGTCGTCTGGCCGGCTGGTACCAGTTATGATAGCGCCTGCTTTGGCTGCTACGAGGCGGCCATCAAGGCAGGGCTGCGCTTCCCATTGCATCCGG